GTAAAGCGATTTCTTATGGCACTATTCATCGAGCAACGTCGAACAATGTCTTTATATAAGTAGTGTTGTGGTCGGCAAAGATTTTCTCGCCAAGTTTGACAGCCCAATTTATAAGAATGGTAGCTATTTGTCTTACCACATCTTCAAGGTGCAATGCGCTCTGATAGGAGAGGAATAAGAACAATCGTCTGATGCGGCCGTTTTCTTTACAGCCGAGGTCGTTGAAGTACGAGGATGCCACATATAGCAAGTCGTGGCATTGTGCAATACCGTGCAAAACCCTGTAGCAGATTTAGTTCACTCCTAAGTGTTTCTTCTTTTTTAGAAATGAAAGCCCTTTTGTGGATTTTATGGCTAATCGGTCATCAGCCCATTCCAAATCAGCTGTTTGTTCAATGCTACTCCGAGAAAATTCTCATCATCAGCCTCCTTGAAGTACAGGTCTGCGTGTATGAATGAATAACGTTATGGTAAATCTAGTGCAGTCGATATCCGTCTTCTAGAGCGAAGAATGCAATCCATAGATTTTTCGGAGTTGACCCTTAATCCTGTTACAGACTTCCTGAACTAGAACGACGAATCGCATACGGTCGAAAGGTCTACGAATGTCTGCAAGAACTGCCACATCATCCATATATTTTACATTTATTCTGCCAGAGTTTACTCTGGGGAACAGTGTTGGCAAAGGGGCAGGTACTTAAGCAACGCCAAACTTACAACATTGGAAACTCGATGCTCATTGCGAACAAACGACCGCAGGCAATTCAAATATTCATATTCATAACAATCTGGAGATTCACAACCGTCGACTCTAGAAGCTGGACCAAGTCGTTGTGGGACATTGTGTGATAGGCAGAGCTCAGATCTAAGAAGGCTAAACGAACCATTTCGCAGCCATCGTCGAGGTTGCTTGCAATGAAGTGCATGATCAGAAGTTGACCTGCACTGATCTAATTCGATGTGGTGATGGTAATGGTGCTAATCCATGTGCTTCTGAGCATATTGTGAGCATGGGGTGGCCGTTCGAAGCATTTAAATGAAGCCGAGAAAGCCTGGCCTCCAGTCATATACCTCTTTGGTTGCTGCCGTTTCGGCATTGGAGTAATCAGGAACCTTTCCCATGCATGAGGAAAGACGCCATTTCGAATACAGTGGTTAAAAATTTTCCTATAAAGCGCTGCAAAACGATCAGCTCCAATTTTACGAGATTAGATTCATCGGTCCCGTACCCGTTGTGGATCGAATTTCTGCAAGGCAGCTGCGAATATGAAGTTCATTCAGTGCGATTTCGAAAGAAGTTTTTCTTAACACTGTTGCGATGCCGACAGGAACTGCTGCTATTGGGCCATTTGATTCTTCCAGCTGCAAGAAGTAATTATTCATTTCGTTTGGACCTAGGTTTTGTGTGTAGCACCGTTTACTGCAGTTGCAGATCTCATTCACTGCTTGCGATTTCTCACGGTTTTTTCTCAGACTGGCCAGGGTATCTGCAAACTACTTCTTCACTAATTTCACCTACTTTTCAATCTCCCATCGCAGTTGTTTGTACTCAGTCATTCGGGCCGTTAAATACGCCTTTTATCTCGATTTCAACAGATACTTCACACTATCAGAGCTACAGTAGATGTTTCCAAGGTAAACCTTCTCGAACAGCACACGTAAGTCAGGTTCGTTTCGAATATAATTGGACACAGAGTCAAGCTGCTTATTTATGTCCGCTTAATGGATGCTGTCCATTCCTCCCGTTCCGAGGGATCGTGAAACCGTTCAGTGCTTTTGGGACATAGCTGACTTTGATTATGAGGCGCTTTTGGTGAACGAAGTGGGTAAATTCAGCTTAGTCAAGGCTTTTGGATCAGTCTAACAGTCCAGTGATCTGTTGACCCAAGTGGGGCTGAGCAAAGATTACCAAAATATTGCAGAGTTCAATTTTCAGTGTTGCGCTTAGGAAATTTCACCAAATTAGTGGCAGTCAGGTCCCTGATTCCATTTATGTCAGCGATGCACACAGCTTAGAACAAATCTCGTTTTTGAACCTTTCAAATATTCCATCTGAACAGCCAGGATGGATGTAGATGCAACCTATCAAAACTGCTATTGAATATCAGCAAAATGATGGGGTTTACATTTGATAAACAGACACTGAATCGTTCTTCAACAAACGTACCATTCTGCTTCGTATATTGAGGTCGTTGAAAATCCGTTTCTGAATGAGGCATGACGTATAAATGCAACACTGTCACCATACTACTTGCTGATGAACACAGGGTGGAGATCACATGAAATTTTGCGGGTGATACGCAAATCTCAGAACAAGGTCAAAATTCTGCTGATGCATCCTT